CTGATTCTGTGTAATACCAATTATCCAGTTAGTAATAATACCACTACATGTGAACTGTATATCAGGAAAAGCTCTTGTATCACTGACTGGTATTACACTAGTAACTGATAGACTGTTTGTATTAATATCAGTTTCAGTGAAAAAATTTTGAAAGCAATTCGGTGGATCTAGATAATGTTACAAAATATTATTACAGAATGATACATACTTGTGTTTAGACGTAGCATAAAGACATTATTTGTATTCTGAAAATCAGCTTCTCTATTTGAACCAGTTACTCTGATATTTGACTCGCTAATGGAGTCTGCTCTTATCCTTCCAACTCTTTCTGTGCTGCTAGTGGTTGCATTGTAAAGTCTAACAACACTTGAATCATCTTCAGGTTGATACACTCCTAGTCTGTAATTATCACGATTACTGCCACTTACACTAATAGGAGTAGGAAGAATGTAACGATATAATCCATTTGTAGTGACATTATCAGGAGACAGTACAATAGGAAGAGTAAGTACTTTTTGGTAAGTAGAACTACCATCATAATACCATGCCTCAATGCTAGGATACTTGTTCCTATTTCCATATACTGATCTGATATCAACTCCAAGAAGAACTTCAGTCACAGTAGCAGTACTACAATTGAATGTATCAAAGGCAATGAGCCATCTTCCTTCATTGTCCTCAGCTAAAGTATTATCAGCTAGTGAACCAACTGGTGTAGCTGCTTTAGCTACTAGTAGACTCAAGTCCATGAATCCTTCAGTACATACTCCTCCTCCTGTTGCTCCTTCATTACTAGCAACCAATAATAATAGGAATAAGAAGATACTGGACATTTTGTGATGAGCTACTCAGCAAGTTTCCTCTACTTATTTATTTTCCTATAGATGCTACAGGATGTCATTGGATCTAGAGTAGATACCACACCCAATTTTACTAGAGTTGCATTCCTAGCAATCATAAATAAATCATAGTGACTGATAGCCTAATGGTTTATATTAAATTTAACTGAAAAGGGAATGTCATAGTAAATGTGGTTTGTCTACTAGAACTATAACTGAATATTATAGAATTATGTATAATAGCAAATTTGAATTTATTGTAGATTGGCTAATTACTTTAACAACGCGTACAATTAAATTTTACAATAATTTTAGTGCAACTCATTATTTTGTGCATGTGCTCTATGAGCATTAATGTATGTTCAATGTTCATATGTTAGATGTACAACTCTTCTTCTTCTACTTTCTGTTGTGTATATGCTTCATTATGTGCTGGCATTACAATAACCTGCCAATAGAAATACAGTCAAACAATATTGATAAATGAACTGTCATGACTAAGACTTTTAATATTGAGTTTAAGTAATGAAGTTTAAATTAGCTGTGGCCATATTTTTTTGCAGAATAGTTCACTAGTCATTATTTACAGCATAATATATTGTAATGTTACCTCTTGTTCATTATACATTGTTCTTGGCTCCTCATACACTAATAATTCTTCATTGATACCTATAATTTATCAAAATTACAACAATAAATCTCATTTTACTTTGTGTCATTATAGTATTGATTCCATAAGCAGGATTACTATGGACATCATCTACTTTAATTACGTTAGAATTGGTTAAAATTATACTCTTTCAAGTATAACAATCTATCATACTTTTATTTCCACCAATAACACCATAAGTAGCATATATTAGCAGGTATATTTGAGAGAACATTCATTCCTTCATCTATGCAATAACAAATTATTGAAGTTAGTGAATGTTTTTTATTAAGTTACCTTGTTTTTGTTCATCCACTATTCTTTTACTATCATCATTAGCATAACCAGTACCTAACTGTTTTCTCCTACACACTAATACACTCACTATTAATATTACTAGTATAGTAACTACCAGTAATATAAATACACTACTAATACTTCCTGCTATTATTAGACTCCCTGTACTTTGATCAGGTGTACTTATAGTGGTCATTGAGGTAGTAGTAACATTACTACTTGAAGTACTATAAAAGGCATTAGTGAGGAATGAGGATGTTGTACTCAGTAAGGAAATAGTGGCAGTAGAATGTAAACTGGTAGTGTCATGTACGACTTCTATTGACGTAAGAATGCTATTAGGTCTCATTACATTATCTGTAATAGATATTGTTATTGCTGCAGCACTACTAGCAGTGGATGATGTTTCAGTAATTGAAGGAATTGGCTCTAAAAAGGGAAATACTGGGTAATTATATGATAGTAGGTAGAAAAATGCTCACTTATTATAACTGATATCAGTGGATAGTCATTATGTTCCAATGGTATTAATCCATTACTGCTATTAAGCTCATAATTCAATGGTCCATTGTATTGTTGATAATACATTGGATTACTATTAGTGGTTACATTGATTACTAATATATCTCCATACTGTACTTCAATATCACTTGTAAAGTTATATACATTACCATTACTTGATGTAGCAGCAGAAGCATCAACACTTAGTGCATGAATCAGTTCAGAAGAACGTTTTAAATAAATGTTAGGATAATGTTTGCTTGTATCCTGATTCTGTGTAATACCAATTATCCAGTTAGTAATAATACCATTACATGTGAACTGTATATCAGGAAAAACTCTTGTATCACTGACTGGTATTTCATTAGTGACTGATAGACTGTTTGTATTAATTTCAGCTTCAGTGAAAAAATTTCGAAAGCAATTCGGTGGATCTAGATAATGTCACATAATATTATTACAGAATGATACATACTTGTGTTTAGACGTAGCATAAAGACATTATTTGTATTTTGAAAATCAGCTTCTCTATTTGAACCAGTTAGTCTGATATTTGATTCACTAATGGAGTCTGCTCTTACTCTTCCGACTCTTTCTGTGCTGCTAGTGGTTGCTTTGTATAATCTAACAACACTTGAATCATCTTCAGGTTGATACACTCCTAGTCTGTAAGTATTATAATTACTGCTATTGACACTAAAAGGAGTAGGAAGAACATAATGATATAATCCATTAGTAGTGACATTATCAGGAGACAGTACAATAGGAATAGTGACGGGATTCAGGTAGGAACTATCATCATATTGCCATATCTCAATGCTAGGATACTTTTTCCTATTTCCAAATTCTGATTTGATGTCAACTCCAAGAAAAACTTCTGTTACAGCAGCAGTAGTACAATTGAATGCATTAAAAGCAATGATCCATCTTCCTTCATTGCTGTCAGCTAAAGTATTATCATATATATTATCATGTATATCAGGAAAAGCTCTTGTATCACTGACTGGTATTACATTAGTAACTGATAGACTGTTTGTATTAATTTCAGTTTCAGTGAAAACATTTTGATAGCAGTTTGGAGGATCTAGATAAAAAATGACTTTAATATTTTGTTAATGACGTTATGCATACCTGTTATTAGATGTGCCATAAAAACATCAGTTGTTTCTACTTGATCAATTTCTTTAGTTAAACCAGTTATTGTGATACTTGATTCACTAATGGAGTCTGCTCTTATTCTTCCAACTGTTTCTGTGCTGCTAGTGGTTGCATTGTAAAGTCTAACAACACTTGAATCATCTTCAGGTTGATAAACTCCTAGTCTGTAAGTAGCATAAGGAGTAGGAAGAACGTAACCATACAATCCATTAGTTGTGAAATTATCAGGAGTTAATCATGGGCGTAGGCAGACTAGGAAAGAAGGTCGGGCAAGGAGAAGATGATGGGCGCGCGAAGCGCGCCGAAATTTTGGCCACACCCCTTTTGCCGCCCGATATATGGCGATTTTGCACTATCTATCATGCATGCATACACAATTATTATTGTTTTATTGTAATCAGGTAGAAGAAATTTTTCGTGATATGGTGGCTTTGAAAAAGCCAGTTAACAAAAAATGAGGCGGAAACTCGACCCTGAGGATGATCACTGGAGTTTTTGTGAGAGACAGCAAACTTGATAACTACCACATTTAAGCAGTCCCAGAGCTTAGAAGACAAATCTCTTTCTATATATAAAAGATATAGGTGCAAACAGCATGGAACCTAGATTGACGTTTGCTCGCCATTTCAATAATTAACTTGGCCGTCACTAATAATTAACTTGATATCATAATTCATAACTTGAATAAAATGGCTGCTGCTAGAGCTCTGGCTCTCTCAGCTTCTTCCTCACTCCTCAGGCTAAGTGACAGTCACAGACTGACAGTATAGTTCCAGTGTCCAATTACACCTGTGGTAATGATAGTCTGACAGTCTCACACACAGTGGCACACTCAGTCTTGCCCAACCACCTTGCCCAAGCTTCTGCCCTCACTGCCTTTGCTCACAGGTCAGCTCACAGAGTCAGGTCGGGCATTGCCCCTATATGCCCGACCCTGCCTACGCCTATGGAGTTAATGCAATAGGAATAGTTTGTATTTTTCGTAAAGGAGATCAACTACAAGCCACATTTCAATGCTAGGATACTTGCTCCTATATTGCCATGATTTGATCTGATGTCAACTCCAAGAAGAACTTCTGTTACAGTAGCAGTAGTACAATTAAATGCATGACCCCCATCAATGACCCATCTTCCTTCCTTGCCCTCAGCTAAAGTATTATCAGCTAGTGAACTAACTGGTGTAGCTGCTTTAGCTACTAGTAGACTCAAGTCCATAAATCCTTCAGTACATACTCCTCCTCCTGTTGCTCCTTCATTACTAGCAACCAATAATAATAGGATAAGGACAGCAAGTGAAAGAGCCGAGGAAAGAGCAGACATTTCTTGATTTCTGTAGTAACAGCTTATTAATTATTCATTACTATACTACTTAGAAAAGCCACTCCTACTTCATTGGCTTCCACGTGTTGTCACGTGTCTAATAGAAACGGAGTTAACAGACTTAAAACCTGCTTAAAACAGAACACTTAATCTATCAACATATTATGAGCATTTTGCCATACTTGTAAGCTTATTGTACATACATGTACTGTACTGTTTCTAATTAGTGTAGCTTGTTCTGCACATTATAACGATCTTTTTTAAATTTTTAATGTAAGTATCTACTTGATATCACATTAGAATGAATTACATGATGAATAGAGCAAGGGGCAAGGTTCATGGTCTTTGGCCAAAATTTTATAAAAAATGGCTAGGTAAGTAATCTCCATTTTAATAGGTACACATATATTTTTTTATGTTGCATAGAAAATTTGAGCTGATTTCAATCAAATTTAGATTTTTTTACGTATTTTTAAAAGTGACCTAAAAATTGAGCCAAAGTCCTGTACTATAGTACACAATCTTTAGCCAAATTTTGGCCTTAAAAAGGTGATAATTTTCCATTTTATATTTTTTTCTGATACACATACATGTTCTTATGTTGTGTAGAAAGTTTGAGTTGATTCTGATTAAAATTAAATTTATTAATGATGCTCTAAAGTTTGGTCAAAAATGGCTAGAACAGAATTTTGCATTTTTATTACATTTTCTAATTTACATGCACTTGTGTCATTTAGAAAGTTTGAGTCGCTATATGATCAAACTGGTTTTTTCAAAATTTGGCCATGGATCATGTATGCATGAGCTATCAATTTACAAAGGTTGCAATACATTTTTCTGAATTTAGAGCTGATTCCAATCATAAATATAATACACAGACAGGGATTAGAGACTTACCTGTTTTAATTTTGTCATTGCCATGGTTATTGTTTATAGGTTATTAATAATTATTTAAAACGACACATAACTATAAAAACTGTCACAATACATTTCATACAAACAGCAAATAGCGCAGTAATGGGGATATAACAAAAATTACAATTCTGCCTGCAATAAATTAAAAAAGAAGATGGAGACATAAAATCAGTTCTTGTACATGTACTGTAAGTCGGTGTAGAGGGAGTGGCTTGTTTCTAAAGCTCCACCCAGTACAGTAACAGGATCCTCTTTATTAATCATTAGTAATTGTTTATCAGGTGAGGATAGACTTGATGATATACCTGAGAAACTTGGACGATTATAAGTATCAGGATTCCTACATTGAATACAAATAAGGATATCATTGTACAATATTTATTACATTATCTTTAATGAAAATTATTGATATCACATTATATTAATTGTGTGTGGGCGTTCATGGAAGCATGTTGTAGTTGAATGTGAAATGACAATGACACTGTAGTATGTGGATATGGTGCAGTTAGAGTAATGTGTGTGTGACCATATCTAATCGAATTGTGCCTAGCCCCTACTTATGACAATTTCTGTATGTATGCATGAATCTATGTATGCATGCGTGCATTTGGGAGTGTGACTAGGAGGTGTGGTCACAAGGCAGAGCCCCTCAATGTTTACATTCTTTCTAGTTTAGCCCTAGTTGACATATTTGGCTGTATTTTAGTATGTTATTGTTTTAAATTCCATTAGTTGTAAACATGTTTGTGTTTTGTTAGTTACATGCATACATGTAGTAGCACTAATAATAAATACATACCAGCATTGCATCATTAGTTTATACATTGGTTTAGGACATCCTGGAGGAGGTGGTAATCTATAGCCTGAATCAACCAGTCTAATGCACTAAAGTTAGTAAAATAAAATAAAATTTTATAAGTATAATATCATACTTCTTGATTAGTGTACATTTCAAATGGCTTATGTCCTACTGACCAAATCTCATACATTACAGCTCCATAACTCCACACATCACTAGCACTC